TATAAACGCAATACATCTGGCCAGCCAACGGCCAGGTCGTTGCGACCTGGTCGTCAGTGAGTTAGAGCCCCCTAGTCATGTTTTCATGGCTAATCTTACTGTAGGCTTTGCCCAATAATTTCGTTCTTCTTTTTTATTACAGTCCACACGATAACATCCTTTGATTATTTATTAAAATAGACAAAACAAAATAAAATTCATATTTAGTAAGTAAAAAAATACAATTCTTGTTGCAAAAAAATGAAATATAGCAAACACGGAAATATAACTTTTAGATATTGACGTTCTGCTTAGTATGAATAAACTATGATATTTGAAAGACTAAAGTGTATAAAGCGGAATCATTTTAGATTGGGCATTTAAATTTTTCGAGATTTTCGGGATCTCGGGGATAAACATACACCGGGAATCCCTTGAATAATTTTTATAGATATCTTACATATTTATTTAAAACGAGTACGTTATAAAAATACTTAATATTTTCAGAAAGGTTTCAAAGAACACACACAAAGAAATCGTTCTTAATTTGGACGACTCAACGCAATCAATCCATAAAAAGGAGTCAGTGAATACAAATTTTATTTTTATAGAGTTCTCAAATTGGAAAAACGTCTGATGTGAAAGGCGTCTATGTTATGACGCACTGGCAGAAAAATTAATATATTGATTAATATATATTGATTCCTTACATTTATATGGTAGTTCCTCAGACAATAATAATTTTTTTGTATTAACACCAACCAGCGGGAATACACTGCATTGGGTATGCAGTCATGATCGCTCGAGGGAAACAAAAAGGCACCCTGTGTGATATTATCGAAAGAGGACTCCGTATCACTGAGAGATGATGTAGGATTGTAGGGCTGAGCATCATCTCAGACAAAACCGCGGTTAGATGGGGGGTGATAGTGAGACCCATGATCAGAGAGCAACGTATGGCAAGACTAAACCTGTTCAAAGTCCAGAGACTGGCATGCATCTGTATCACAGGAGCCATGAAAAACCTGTTCAACACAGCAATGGTGGTCATTCTAGATCTAACACCACTGCACATTGTCATCGGTAGATATACCAATGCGACAATGATTAGAATGGTCATTGACGGAAACAGTACTAGGAGAATTTTCAGGTCAGGGGCTTGGAACACCCTCAAAAAGAAAATTCCACTTCTTTCTCCAACTCCCAGTGGATGACATACCAAGAATGTACAACTCTGAGAAACACCTCAATGTAGCATTGAGCAATAAAAAGAACTGGAAGAGAGAAAATTTTGCTCAGCAGTTAAAAGACCATATCGTAATTTGGTATACCGATGCTTCCAAAACCAATGCAGGAACAGGGATCGGAGTATTTGGACCGAGAATTAAATACTCCGAATCAATGGGCACCTACCCTAGCATTTACAGGCAGAAATCTATGCTATCGAAAAATGCGTACAACTTATCTTAGATAGAAACAATCGGAAACAAGAAATAGTCATCTTATCTGAAAGCCAAGCAGCGTTAAAAGCGATCAACTTAGTATTAACCAATTCGAAATTGGCCAAAGAATGCATAGAGAAGCTGAACAAATTAGGCAAAGAAAACAAAGTCCTACTCTGGGTGCCAGCTCACCAAGAGATAGAAGATAATGACAAAGCAAATGATCTAGAAAGAAAAGGAGCAAACACTCCACTAACTGAACCAGAACCGTTCTGCTACCCAAGTGGAAACCAAATAAAAGCGGAACTACAAGAACTTGGAAGAGTACATCCGTAACATGGAATGCGAGGGTTGTCACGGGGTTTTTAACAGGACACTGTCTTCTCAATTAACACCTCAGTAGCTTGAGGCTAAGAAAAAACGACGAATGCAGATTCTGTGGGGAAAATGGGAAACACCAAAATACCAGAACACATAATCACTGAGTGCGCCGAGACGACATCCATTCGTGCCATAAATTTTGGTACAATTGATATTGGAGATGGAGAACTAGCCTCTGTAAACCCGTTCCAGACACTGGCTTTTGTCAAAGCCCTGGGACTGCCTGATGATTTATAACTCAAGAAAGGGGGACACAATAGATCTGTAAGGTCGCGGTGATCACCCTCCCCCCTCCCACTCATTCTACATTCTACATTTTAACACCAACAAGTGTAGTCAATAATAAAGCATGTAAAATTACGGACCAGGGAAAAGTAGACTGTCCACTGGAAAAACAGAGACCACTGGAGGCACAGGCACAGCATAGGCCTTCAACCAAGAACCTAATTCTAAAACCACAAAGGAACTTCTAATGCGCAGTCAACAAATTTTTGAGCCCTGTCTTGGAACAACAGAGTTTTTCAAACGTCCACCTGTCCAAATACGCCTAAGGTCGCTTAATCTAGGTGATCGGTCGAGAACCAGTGTTCCGACGTAGGTGGACCGTTGTTCTTTTATAAAATAAATCCATAGATAAAAAAAGTAAATAGATTGGACACTCAAATTGAAAGTCGAGATGTTTCTTCAACTTCTCGCCGAAGCGCTAATGTCGCTAGCGCGGGCTTCCCAAATTAATTAATAAACAATTTTATATTTTTCTGAAAAATTGTCCTAAAACTGGAGAACTAGTCAGTGTAAACTAGCTATAATTAAATCAAATATTACAAATTGTTTAATTTTATATTACACTGACATAATCTCCAGTCTTAGAACAATTTATCAAAAATTATTGGCGACTGGGAACATAAAGGAAATAAATTAACAGTGATATAATATTTATTTGTTTATGAACCTTACATCCCTTATTACTCCTTCATCAACAATTGGACAAACACCAATAAATCACTATTTCAACCTTTGAATAAGAAGACTAAGGAAGGAGCATATCAAAAATCTTAGGTTCACCGCGATGGGCCTCAAATATGGCCGACTTAAATTCCGGTTTATCAGTGTCGTTCTAATTTTATTTAAAAAATGTAAAACTATGATGTAGGGTAGACGTGGGGTAGACTCAATAATTTGTTGTTTTATTTTACGTTGTGAATAAATGTTGGTAGTTATTAAAATTGTTATAAAAATATATAATTCTAATAAAATAGATAAGTTATAATAAGTATTTATTAACACAAACATCCGATACGCTACTGAAGCAGGTAAGTCAAATTAACGTATCTAAATTCTTTGACATCTAATCTTTGACAAGTAATAAATAAAAGCTAAAAATGCAAGAAAAATATATAATTTAGTTAATTTAAGTGAATTTCATAAATGATCGGTTTACTACACGTATGTATATTATATAGTCACTTACTAGCGAAAAGTTGTTCCATTATTTCACTCAATTTTTGCCGAGATCTACGGCACGCTACTATTTTAGAGTCTTTTTCGATAAATCGCGATAGTGTCACTGTTAATTTAAGTTCTGCCACAATTTCCATCTAGATTTACTACCTTTATACAACTATCAGTAGTAGAATAAATAATAAATAACATAAAATAAGCTCCGTAAAGACTGAAGCTACATTCGAAATCAATTCGCTGGCCGAGTGGCACTTCGACGTTAAAGTCGGCACGAAATTAACCATTCACAACAAATTTCAAGTCGAATTTTGCGCATGCGTGTTTAAACGTCTCCTGACATTTTTTTAGGTTAGTTGTTTGTTTTGATTTTGGAAGAGTCAAAATCCGGAACAGTTGTTAATTAAGTTTTCCAAGTTTTTATGTTTAGAAAAATGGAAACAAAAACGTCATTTAGGGATGATTTTTTTCTACAATGTGTCTCAATTATGGGATCGCTTAAGCGGGCTTCTTATAAAAGATTTTCGTTGCATTCAAAACTTTTCTCGCCATTAATATGGGTCGGACGCCTCATTTTTTGGGTTTGGTAAACCCCTTGGTTTTCGATCAAACGAATTATTGAGCTGCAACGATAATTGCCGTTTTTTTTAACAGCAAAACCACAAGTCCTAATAAAATAGGAATAGCGTCCTCTTCACTCATCTTTCTTTTAATAATTATTTACTTTTCACAGGAAAATGGCTTGTAACAACAACACAAACAAAATAATTATTAAAATTTAAATGTCAAATTTGTCATAATTGTCAAACGAAAATTCCGTGCTGAAGTGGAAGTTTGCAGCTTGCAAACTTTCAATCCAACTTCAACTTGCACTCTGGCGTCGAATTTTGTTGTGAATGATTGAAGTGCACTGAAGTACATATGATAAGCTTGCGGGCCAAAGTACCACTCGGCCAGCGAATTGATTTCGAATGTAGCTTGACAAATCCACAAAATTTCAAATCAAATTCAAATGTGTCAAATGAATCGTCAAACAGAACTGTCAAGGATCCCCACCCTAGAGAGCTTTTATGGTGGCTTTTCCGCCCACCATGCATGAATACATGGATAGCATTATGCTCCTTCTTTAGTCTTCTTATTCAAAGATTTCAACCATATTTTAACCAAGCAATGTTTGCACTAATAACTAGTAAATAACGTCTGTGGCGTGGAAATATCAGTTTTTTGCTAGAACTGCACTATACACTAATACTACAACAAGAACACACTAAAGGAAAACAAATTTAAGCAATATTCAACACAAAGAAGAACGGCTTCGCAAAATAGGCTCCAATATTCGAAAAAAAACTGAAAACAAAACGACGACAAATGACATTCTCTTGTCGATGCCAAATGACACTCTTGACTTGACATCCGTTGCCAACATTAAGATTTAAATACCAATTTAAACTTAAAATATTGTTTAATAGCGCCGCTTATGAGTAGTTGAAAAAGTAGAGAGTGCCAACTGTGCCCAGGCCCTGAATAAATCACTTCAAGCTATTTAATACTTTGACGTAAATTAAAAATGGTGAAATATGATCTAAATTTCAACAACACCTCAAATAAATACTTAATAAGTGAATGACACTTTATTTGTTATCTAAACAAAAGAAAAAGTAATATTTATAAACAGTAAATATTTGTTTTCTTTCAGCTACTCAAATACCAGGTTAAAATAAATATAATATTTGAACTTACCTAATAGTTTGGACTCTTTTAATCAACCTCCAGCACTACTTTATAGTCGTTTTTCATAGTTTCCTGAAAATAACGAAAAAAGGGCGATCAGATAATATAAAATAAAACTGTCGGAAACATAAAAATAACTGGAAGGTATAAAAATAATGCCTAGTCAGTTAATTTGATCCGCTGAGACGGGAAACTGAATGAAATCAGTGGATCGATAAAAGATAATGCAATTTTTGTGATAGGATATCAGACGTTGTAATCTTCCTCCACCCTACATGGAGAAAAAAAAAATAACTATAACGAAATCGATTGTGGTGGTAAATTATTCTATGACCATAATTAAAGTTGATTTTAATTCTATTTTGATTTCAATCTTAGAATTTTTAGAATTTAGAATGAGCGGGAGGGGGGTTAATCACTGCGACCTTACAGATCTATTGTGTCCCCCTTTCTTGAGTTATAACTCATCATACAGTCCCAGGGCTTTGACAAAAGCCAGTATCTGGGACGGTTTTATAGAGGAGTAGTTCTCCATCTCCAATATCAGTCGTACCAAAGTTCATGGCACGAATGGTTGTCGTCTCGGCGCACTCAGTGATGAGGTGTACTGGTGTTTCCCCATTTTCCCCACAGAATCTGCATTCGCTGTTTCTTCTTAGTGTCAATCTACTGAGGTGTTCATTGAGGAGACAGTGTCCTGTTAAAATCCCCGTGACAATCCGAAGATTGTTCTTGCTTAAACCCAGGAAGATCTGTGATTTTTCTTCATCAAAAGCCCTCAGAAACTTCTTCGAGTGTCTTAGACCATTGCAAGATTCCCATTCCAGGTTGCGGATGAAATCTTACAAGTTCTTGAGTTCCGCCTTGAGTTGGTTACCACTTGGAAAGCAGAACGGTTCTGGTCCAGTTAGTGGAGTCTTCGCTCCTTTTCTAGCTAGATCATTTGCTTTTTCATTGCCTTCTATCCCTTGGTAAGCTTCAGCTTCTCTATGCATTCTTTGGCCAATTTCGAATTGATTGATACTGAGTTGATCGCTTTTAACGCTGATTGACTATCAGATAAGATGGCTATTTCTTGTTTCCGATAGTTCCTATCTAAGATAAGTTGTACGCATCTTTCGATAGCGTAGATTTCTGCCTGTAGGATGCTAGGGTGCCCAATGGTTCGGAGTATTTAGTTCTCGACCCAAATACTCCGATACCTGTTCCCGTATTGGTTTTGGAAGCATCAGTATACCAAGTTATGGTATGGTCTTTTAACTGCTGGGCAGACGTTTCTCTCTTCCAATCCTTTTTATTGCTTAATACTACATTGAGATGTTTCTCAGAGTTGTACGTTCTTGGCATATCGTCCACTGGGAGTTGCAGGAGTGGTATTTCCTTTTTGAGGGTGTTCCAAGCCCCTGATCTGACAATTCTCCCAGGACTGATTCCGTTAGTAAACATTCTAATCATTGTCGCACTGGCATATCTACCAATGACATTGTGCAGTGGTGTTAGATCTAGAATGACCTCCATTGCTGCTGTTGGACAGGTTCTCATGGCTCCTGTGATGCAAACACATGCTAGTCTCTGGACTTTGCACAGGTTTAGCCTTGCCGTCCGTTGCTCTACCCAAGTAGCATTGGGACGTTATCTAACGTCGGGTATACGTCGCGTTCAATAAACCCGACGTCGGGTACCAACGACCCTTATTGCTGACGAACGAACAACGAACCTTAGGTGCCTGACGACCCTTATTTGCACCTAAATGGGGAATACAGATTCGGATCGCCTCGACGTCGGTATCTGACCTAATAGGGAATGTAATTCTACCAATTACCAACGTCATATTACGTTGGATTTTAGTTACTTAAAATTCGTCGCTAAGCACTTACGTTACTTTTGGTGTCATATTCGCTACCAAGAATACATAAAAACCTAACCAAACTACTTACCTAATTACAAATGGATTCATAATAACTCCTCGAATATAACTATAAGTGCCTACCTAATTTCATATTATAATAATTCTGAATCATTAATCCAGACATCAGTTTTATCAACGGAAGTCACTTTTTTGATATATCTGATTAAAATACTCCGGAAAACAACGAGCGCCTTCAAAATTAGGTAGATTTGTGAAATAAAAATATCTATAAAAAAGTAACTCGCAAAATATTTGTTATTTTCTAGCTGGTTTAATCATAAAACTGTACTGTGGTTCCCCCCAAAATCAAACTTATCAATATTATTCTACTAGAAATCAGAATGTGAATATAAATTTTAAAAACAAAAAACGATTTTAAAATGGCTGACAATCGGATAGTTGTTAAGAATGGCGGATTTCTGTGTCCGACTTAATATGAACTACCAATATACCAATTTCAACCGGGTCTCCAACATTAGTCGTCTCACACGACCGAAGTCATCAAACCGGAGGACGATCTATCTTAAAAAATGGGCAGCCCCTTTTTTAAGATAGTATATATACAAAATTTAAAAGAATTGGAACCAGTACCTCACATGAGGGAGGTAGATGGAGTCTGCTAGTTTCCTAAGCTTAAAAATGAAATTAAGATGCACCAGTGTAATGCAGCATTTCTTCCGGATAAAAAACATTCGTGTGTGGAGGCAAGATATCACTACTACTATTATTATTTTGCCTCGACCTCTTTCTGTAAAATGTAGATGAATGTCTAAATGCCTTTTTAGGGTTTTTTAGGCATAATAAAAAAAATTAAGTTTGTTTACAAAAACTTTTTATTAGGTTATGTTCATGATGTTCATTAGGCCGCAAATGCTACTTAATGGGTTGTATTTACGGACGTAAATAGAGATACGTAAATTAGGTTATAAATATGAACATAAAATACAACAAAATATAATTGGACGCAACTTTAGGGATTATCAGTGAGACGTATCCTATTCGGACAACGGGTAGACGTCGGGCTAGTTCAAATATATGTACGTCGTGCAAGCCAACGTGGGAACGACGTTGGGAAATTAATAAAAATGGTACGTTGTTATTTTGTACGTCGACAGATCGTTGGATTTACCGACTCGGATCCAACGACGTCGCTTTTAATAGGAAAGCGACGTCACCGGTCGTATCACCAGCACCCGACCAAAATTTGCACAAAGTCTGACGTCGCTTCAGGTCAGATTTAGTTCGAAGTTAGATAGATGCTACTTGGGTAGTTTTGTGTACCAGGCAACTGCTCCATAAGTAATCATGGGTCTTACTATCATGGTATACATCCAGAGCAAAATGTTAGGGGAGCAGCCCCATCTATTTCCGGCCAGTCTTCTGCATATATCATGAGAGCCTTTGTGGCTTTGCTGGTATTGTTCTTAATATGCCTGTTCCACAGGAGTTTACTGTCCAGGGTTATTCCCAGATATTTAACTTCCTGTGATGGCAGTATTTCCTTTCCATCTAGTTGGATTCTTTTCAAGTTTTTCAGACTTCGCTTTCTGGTGAATGGCACTATCGCGGTTTTGTCTGAGTTGATACTCAGCCCGACAGTCCTGCACCATCTCTCAGTGATACGGAGTCCTCTTTGATGATATCACACAGGGTGCCTTCATGTTTCCCCCGAGCGATCATGACTATGTCATCTGCATACCCAATGCAGTGTATTCCCGCTAGAGTTAATTAGTCTAGAAGTTCATCCACTACCAAGCTCCACAGCAAAGGGGAGGTTACTCCACCTTGTGGAGTTCCTTGCGTTGTTTTAACAGCTACAGTTTTGGTGCCCATCTGAGCATCTGCTGTTCGTGTTTAAAACCAGCGAATAATAGTTCTGTTCGCCCCTCTCGTTTCTAGAGATCGCCTGACCACCTTATGTGGTATATTGTCAAACGCCCCCGCAATATCCAAGAAGGCACAAATTGTTGTTTCTTTGCTACCCAGACTTGTCTGTATTAGCTCCGTTAATTGGTACAGAGCAGTTTTAGTAAGATTTCAATCTTACTCAAATTTATTTCCTATTAGTCTCTTATAAAATTTGAATAGAACCAATACACATTTTGTTCCTCAATATTAATGGGCGATTCTACACTGGATGGTTCTATACTGGCAGTTCTATACTGATGGATCCAGGAGTTCAAATAACGCTGGATCAGTATTTACCTGTTCCCACTTTGAGCGCTCATTTAAACTTCCTACGACAACAGGAGTTTTATCAGCTAAATTGTTGGCTATCTCTAAGGCAATGGACAATATATTATCGGCTGAAAAAATTTATTGGCTATACTTGCTACTGACTCCATGTCCCCAATAAATACAATAAAGTCGTCTTAACCCCGTCGCCCTTTGGGTATAGAAATTAATGAAAAATTATACAGGATAACATCAAAGGGATGCTTAGTTAGTTTGATGTAAATTCTTTCTCACAAGGGCATTCCTGGAAAAGGAAAAGCTGACCACCTCGCGAGAAATACAACGAATAGTATTTCTATTAACCAGACCCTTTGGAAAGAGGATTTGAACGCAGACTTGATATATTTATTCAAGTCTGGATCAACTAGGATGGGATCTAATAAATTATATGAAGTAAAGAACAAAGTCTATCTAAATTGCATCCCCCCCCCCCCATTTTTCGTAGATAATTGGATTTGGCTTAAAATTCTGCATATACATACATAGTACACTTTATTTGAAGCATTCTTATTTACTAAAACTTTGATTAAAAATTAAAAACATTATATCCGAAAAGTGGTAAAAAACTAGAGTGAATACAACTTTATTAATACTTAGCTATGTTTTCCTAAACACGAAGGATAACAGAACAAATTCGTGTAGAAAAATTTACATTATTCTATACAGGGTATTTTTTATAGCGTCACCAAAATCGGAATACTTAAAATGCTGCATCTCCATTTTTTAAATGCAACACCCTGTATATTACTTTTCTTTCAGATCTAGAATTAAAAGATGAACATCTTTTGTATTTAAAGTGTTCCTAAATTTTTAGCCGTTTTGCAGATATTCGCTGTATTACATTAAATATGGGGTTTCAACCAACGGTAAAATATCAAAGATCATATTAGGTGGCTTTTATAAAAATTTACTGCTGGAGCTATATGTA